AACAACTAACGAAGTTCATTAGAAGCCGGTCTATTTTCAGCAACAGCGTTCTGATGATGTTGCCGCCTTTTCTTATGCTGAAAAAAAAAAAATAAAAACTACGGCAATTTTTTCCTTTTGTATCAAATTTTGTTTACGTTGCCTGAAGCGTACCAATAAAACAATGAAGGCACATGAACCTTCAATGTGGACCTCTAAATATGCTCAAATGCAGCCGTACACCAAGCACAACTGTTGCTGAGATTTTTCAGGCTAGACTATCGGCCAAGCACATTATGCATTGGCTCTTTTCCGCCTGATTCAGGGATGCCATCCAACGACATTCAACGGTCGAGTAATCCACGATTTCAAGTGAATCTTTATATCGATACTCCGAAAACCTGCACTTCTACTGTCACTTTCCTTCTCGCCATCGATGTAGCTGGCAGCTTTAACCTCATATGGGAGACTAAATGGATTAATATATCTGACAGGCAGTTTTGCCAGCATTTTTTAAAACTTTTGGAAAATACCGCACTTTGCGCTCACTTTAAGGTAGCCTCCACATGTAAGGATGCAGAAGGCTGTCACTGCACTATGCCGCCAATAATGCACAGGCATGGGCGCAACATTCGATATTACTGTGCTTTTCGCAACTCGCACCGAAACCCACAAATGAGTGCAGTTTGTGCGTCGAATCATAGTAATTACTCAAACGATCAGCACCAACAGGCTAAGCGATTACAAATTCTATGCACTCACCTTTTTAGTCAATTCCTTATCAGTCTGCGAGCTTTTATCATGGCGCTTAACGTTTATCTCGTCGCAAAAAATGCGATTGGGCACACGATAAGAAGGACGCGCTGATAAAGGCGCAACTTTCGTGAGCACCTGTGAATAGTCTGAAAATGCAAAACTAAAAAAAATGAAGGATATGAACGTTTCTCAAAAGCAAGTCCGAACGAGGTATCGTGCAGAGCTTACGGAGTGCTAAATTCTATTCCACAGTAATACAAAATAATTAACCAAACATTTCGAGAAAAAGATGTTAGGGAGAGACGACGCCATACCTGAGCGGGAATAATGAATGATCAAATAAAATCATAAATGCATCATATGTGCTTTCTACACAAAATATGAAATGCAAAAAAACTCCAGGTAGCGATGCACAAGTTTGCCAGTGCGATCATGTGTTTTTTCATGATCCCATCCTATGCAGAGGTCGCCTGTATTACTAGGGTGTGATTGCGGTGTTGCAGTACGAACATTTGATGTCTCTGCATGCATAGCACACGCCTAGGCAGATCGCCTTATGCTTAATGGTCCGCATATGAGCAGCAAACACCCTCAGAAAAACAATGCTTACTACTTAGCTTGATTACCCAGTCAACAGTGTGCCAACAGTGTCCCAAACTAAGCGTTCAATTGCACGCACGCAAGACGTAAACGTGCATTAAAACTGCATTTGAAATAATTCGACTGAATATGGGGCTGATCTAGTAGGCATAGGGGGGCATTCCCTTTAGTCACACATGAGTGGGGGACATTCCCTTAAAATTAAAACCTTCCAGATTTCCTTGTCCCCGAGTCAGCAGTTTTCCCATCAAAAATTTCACGCGCCCGTACGTGAGTATCGGATGGTACTAAGGAGATGAATCTGAAATCTTTTGGTCGTACGTGAATGGGGAGCAGTCCCCTAAAGTTTCAGCTTCCTAGCTTTCTTCGTTCCCGAGTTAGCAATTCTCCCGCCAAAACTACTTGGCTGGGGAACACACCGGCAAAATTTCAGCCTCAAAGCTTGCGTGGTTGGCGAGTTGAAATGTCCAGACAGATGAACACACACACACACAGACAGGGTCGTTGCAATATGCGTTTTTGCTGCCTGTTGCAGCGCCCTAGCGCTGCACGGCAAAAACGCATAACAAGGACTGGTTCAGGTGAAAAAGCTGGAATCGCCCGTGTTACCAAAAAGCAGCCAAAAGCCCAGTTTTTACGTACCCCGGTATGGGCTCTTTCTTATTCTACTTAACTGATTTTAGACAGGAAGCAATTAGCCTAAATATTACTGAATCTTTAGGGATGTCATTTGCAGTCGCTGAGTCCTCAACAAAGTAATAGCAACGTGGATAAAACAATCAACCTGTTTCATCTTCTTTATGACCAGATGCCTTGGCTGTCACCATTGCAATTTTGCCAGTCTTTGGACCCTGAACAAAAACCACTACTTCACTGTCTCTATTTGGTTCGGAAAACGGTGTTTATTAATGACGTCTCCAAGCCTGGCATGCTACCCATCAGTGAAACCTTGTGCAATGTGTGAATCAGACGCACTAGAACGCCTTACTGCTAAAAGTACTATCATTATCATTAATATTATTACTACTGCTACCGCTATACTTCAGTACAGAGTGTCACAGTAAGCACTACACTATGGGCACAGCCGCTTTTCAAGCATAAATTGCTCAATTCAAAATGAAACAAGCAAAACAACAGAGCCTTCAAAAATCACATAAAAAATTTTCAAGAGTTCGCAAAAAAAGAATCACACTCCTCGCAGACCTTACGTATTTCAGAAGATAATGCATCGGAGGTTCAAATTTCCGGCTTTACCACCTTCGTAACCTGTAGGTACATATGTGTATGTATACGGACACACGTATATGTACCTGCAAGTTATGGGGATTTGCTTTGTAGGTATATATACATACAAAGCATATCCGTGCTAAATTACACGAGAACAAAGCAGAATAAAGCTACCTCATAAACAATCTGACAATCATCATCACTACTGTCCATTTCAACACTCTGGTGCGTATTCTTCTCTGGCTTTAAAAACTCTACATTTTTGGGATCTCCGAACAAACAGAATAACATTGGACCATCGTCGCCATCGCTGTCGTCCTTTATGGCATCCTAAATTCACCGTCTGAGAAGAACTTCGGTCACTATACGGCAAATTTCCAACGAGCAGTAGCTCGTATAAATAATAGCAATTTTATGCAAACAAACGTTGCAAGAATTGGTGCAAGTTCGACTGTAATCCGAACTGTTTTTACAGGAACTGCACGGCGAGCGCAGCCGCTGCAGTAACGTCTGATAAACCTATTTTACAATATCTTCGGATTCTGAAGATTGCCTTCGCCTTTCAAATCATCTCTCACTACTGGACCAAACAACCTCTAACTACCTTGCAAGACTCTTGGCAAACTAACCCTTCCTTCATATCAACTCAGGCTTTTCGAACTTTTATTCCATTTCGTCACAGTGTTCATAGTTTGGGTCATACGTAAGTTTCAGAGTTAATATTTTAAACATTCAGCAAGATATTTACATACAAAATGAAGCATTTGTATATGTACATATATATATATATATATATATATATATATATACATGCATATGTATACGTATATGTGTATGTGTATATACATATATATATGTGCATATATA